CGAAACCAACACATAAGCCCTCGCCCGTAACTTTTCCGCCGCTTTGTTGCATCTATACCCCTGAGCCTTGTCACAGGAGATCTCAGTTCTGACCTAGGACTCCACCCCCACTTTCCAAAAATCCTTGGCACACCCCTTTTCGCACTTCCAGGCCCACATCTCACTCTGATCAGGAAGACGCGTCGGGCGTGAGGTTGGGCGTCACAACACCGTCCTATTCTTGTTTCCATTAGTGGATTTCTCTGCATTCCATTTATTTTTGACTTCCAGCGGGGTCTTCCAACCTTTGGCTTGCTTCCTATATCCAGTCTTCGGTTTGTAGTGCAGCAGGGTTGTTATCCCTTGGGAACTATGAGGCCCCCACCCCCATTGAAGAGGGAGAGCTCTCAGCTTTGTTACAAGGATGGGGCCTATTGGGCATTGGAGCCTGACGCTTCTCTTGTTGCCCATTATTTCCCTTACAACCACTTGCTTACATCCTGTGAGATCCTCCCATACCTCCTGCCCTTCCTCCCTAGGTATCATTACCTTTCCTTTCTGATCCTAGCTTTGTCCGAACTACTTGTACCTCCCCATCACTTCTTACCTGCTTAACTTTCCACACACAGTCCGTTTGGCAGTCCTCCCCTTCTAATACCCACTTACCTTCATAGGATCCATATGCCTCGGCCAGGATGGTCTTTCATTCCTGGGGTATACTTTCAATGATGCTTTTCAGCCTGTCTCCCACTAATCTCAGGTGTTTAAGCTTGGACCTGAGTTCACTTGCAGATCGCCAGTTGACGATGTCCGTATTCCATAAATCCTTTATTCTTGACACACCCTTCTGGATCCACGAAGTGCCAAAGGCGCCGGGGATTTCCTCGGCCGACCACGGCACCCCTTCTCTGGAATAGATCCACCGATTTTCGAAGATGTGTTGTTGAAGGACTTCCTCCAGCGTTTCTGGTTTCGTCTGCTGTTCAGGGAACACCTTGGACCAAGCTGCTAAAATGTCTGCCCATATACAAGATTTCAGTTTTCTTGTTACGAAGGCCTTCGTGAGCAAACAGACACCTACGTCATCCATTCTGGTGAGTCCCCATTCTTTTGCTAGTATGGACAAGGCCAGGTCCACCCAAGGATGTCCTGACTGATCCGTCAACAATTTGACTGGCCATCTGGCCAACAGCGCTGCGATCTGCATTTCTGGATCCAAGATACCTAGGCCCCCGTTGACCTTATCCCCAACCACTTTTTCCCAAGCGACTTTTGCTAGATATCCCTGGTCCTCATTGTATACTCCTTTCCACAGATATCTACGTGCGGCCTTGATTATCCTTCGGTATGAGTCCTTTTCTAGCGGCCGCAATGAGCCGGGGAACCAACCATTAGCAAAGACAACACTGTTAAGCATCAACGCACGTCCTTGAATTGATACACCTGGGGGTTTTGATATCTTTTCCTGTTTGTCTAAGATCTTAGTCTCCATTAGGTCGCTTGCACTCTTCTTTGCATTCCCCATTCCCACCTGCACCCCCAGAAACCTTTCACTATCCTGCGCCGGCAGGCACTTCAAACCCCAATCCACACTTAGGTGGCTGTCCTTGTGTGTGATGGCCATTGAATTCGACCAATTAACCAGAGCCTCTGAGAACAGCGAGTACAAATCCAGACATTTCTTAAGGGTCCCCAGGGAGGATTTCGAGTTAGTTGATAAGGCAAAAAGGTCATCAGCCATTGTTGAAGCCTTGCATTGTCTACCAGCACCTAGTTGTAGTCCTTCTATTTCTGGATATTTCCTAATGGCACTGAGAACTACTTCCATTTGGATGACAAACAGCATCGGCGTCAGCGGGCAACCTTGCCTGAGGGATCTAGATAGCATGAAGGGTGATGAGATCTTCCCGTTGACCATCACTTTTCTTATACCTCTCGTGTATAGTGCCTTGAACCATCTACGGAACGTCTCACCAAATCCATCTATCGACAG